GGCTCTGGTCCAGCCACAAGACCTCTTAGGAGTCTCCCTGAGTTACTGGCCCCCACTGGCCCCAGACAGGCGCTGGGCTCCTACCTTCCTGGCAGAGCAGGGAGCTGTGCGACGTCTCCTCCACGATCCCCCCCGGCTGTTGGGAAGGAGCATCAGAGAGAGTCAGGAGACAGCACCTTGCACGTCACAGCCTGACAAAGGTCAATCACAAGTGCACACTCAGTGGATTGGCCACCCCACCTCCCTCCGCTGAGCCCAGGCCCCAGCAGACACTGACCAGGACCAGCAGGGGCTGGATCACGGTGTCCACTCGCCCCTGGGCTGGCACCACGGCCAGCTCGTTGCCGCACAGCTCCTCGGTGCGCAGGGCCTCCGTGCTGACGGTGAAGTTCACCTCCCCTGCGGAGCCAGTCGGAGATGCCCATTAGACAGCCCCACGCCCTCCCTGGGAAGAGAGTGCCCTGGTCTAAGAGGGGAGGGGACTGCTAGGGAGAGGGAGGAGGAGAAGGGAGAGAAAAGCAGAATAAAGAGAAAATGGCGAGAGATAGAGACTGGGGGAGAAGAGAGGGCAGGGCGGAGGGAGGTGGTGACTGGGAAATGGTGCGTAGGCTGGAAGGGGTTTCTCTGCAGGGTGTTCTTTCCCCCCACCCCTCATCTCTTCCCATCTCTTCTCCTGTCATCTCGCATCAAGTCCTGAGGGACCCTTTCCTGCTCCTCCCCCTCACTCGCAGCACAGAGCCTCTAATGCCCCTCCCCCTTCTGCCTCCATTAGCCTTGATGGGGGGGGTCCCCCGCAGAGCATGAGCCAGCCAGTTGCAGCCATATTATGAGCATTAGGCCCCATGTGCTAATAGAAGAGAGCACCGCGCACTGGGGGTTGGTTTCAAAGCAGGCTTTAGGGAAGGGACGGGCGACATTTTTATGGGGGCTCCACTCCAAAAAAAAAAAAAAGTTGTGGCCTCCGTGTGTCCCAGGACTTGGAGACACGTGCGAGCTGTGTGGAGGGGGCGTGTGACTCCTCGGTCAGGTCGCGGGGCGTTTGGAATCGTTGCAGTGGGAGGGAGGGTTTTATTTGTCCATTGTGATCTGTCACATTACCAAATTGGAGGGAAGCAGCCAGATCGCTGCTGCACTCCTAGGTGGGGGTGTTGGCCCCAGAAATTGGTATAAAAGGGAGCCATGTGGGGTATTGAATGGGAGCTTATTGTTTGCTGATCTTATGTACGCTATTTATGTGAGTGTATAATGTCTGTGTGTGTAGGTAGGAATCTGTAATCTGTGTGGAAGCTGAATATTTCTCTGAATGTGGTTAAGCATGGCTATGGACAGGCTGAGTAGCAAAGCCCTGTGGAACAATGGCACTTGATGGGCCAAAGACACACCCAAAGAATGGGGGCTGTCACCTGAGAGCAGCCAGCAGGAAACACAGAGATTGGCCTCTGACCAGGTGACTGGCTGCATACAAGAAGAGGCCAGGAAGGAGGTATAAAGAGGTCATGTGGTCGATGCCATTTTGTCTTCAGCTCAGCACTTCATCCCAGAGGCAGCACTGCAGGGATTGAAGGGCCCGAAAGACCTGTGAACCCATCCTGACCCTAGGATGTGCAACAAGAACTTTTAAACCAGCAGCTGTAACATCTCTGCTAGAGCCTGCACCAAAGACTGGGAGATTCGGTGCATGTAACGTAATATTCTTTAACAACCTTACTCTCATGCTTTTCTTTCTTGT